ACAATGTGTCAGTCAAATGAACTATTTAAGTAAGTATTTGAATATTAATGACTAAATTAAGTGAAATAGAAAACATACAATTTGACTTTACAAATATTGCAATCTCAGGGGTATAGAGCAGTGTGTCTAGTAGTGGCTGGCTGATCCTAGTTCAGACTGAATGGTTTTGTAATTGAAATTCTGCCTGATCCAAATGAGAACGGTATCTGCAGATAATTGTCCCTACAGGCTGCTGCTTTATTTGTCATTGTAGAAGAGTCTACAGCCGCCACAGAGCTACTCCGGTCCTCTGAGTGTTATGCACTATTTGCAGGTGGACTAAGGCCTACTCATCAGGGCTAGTGTGACTGCGTAAGGACCTTAGTTTCCCAGGGGACCCTAATTAGTGGTGAATATGTAAAAGTGGTTAAAATAACCCTTGTGAGAGCTTTGTTCCAAGGGGTCATGGCTAGAAGGGATCCAGCTTTTGTCAAATAAACGTCAAAAGTTGAACGTTTTTGCTTTTTAGCTAACTCTAACCCTTTTCCTAACCTTAACCTAACTCTCCTAACCTGCTACGTTAATTATCCTAACCTGCTACGTAAGTTCTACTAACCTGCTACGTAAGTTCTCCTAACCTGCTACGAGAAGTCAAATCTGACGTTAATTTGACAAAAGCTGGATGCCTTCTAGCCATGATCTCCTGAAGGTCCAGTGTAGTCTGTGCTGAGTCGTTGCAGTGCAATTCTATTGTTTATGTGAGGGCAAACCTTTTGGGGACCATGCAGTCTATTTGAGAAGAAATATTTGGAGCATGGTCAATAATGTATTGAAGGTATGTTTGTTGATTTGTATCAGTGCTTGTTTTCTTAAAATTTGACAACATTTCAAATGTTTTTGTAAAATTATGCCACTACAGTAATGCCATTTTGTTTTCAATTGTTTCCAGTTGGTTTGTGTTTGTGATTTGACTTTGAAAGCCCCCCCTTAAGATGATTGTCTTGAAGTATATTAATTAGTATTTCTATTAATAATCACTGTTTATTTGTAAATGCAATGGCAAACTGTTTTCTCTTCCTTTCATTTAGAAGTTTGCTTGTCACTGTTTTTGTTCATTTTCGTGAACTCTGTCAATTAAGTTGTCTTTGTGAAAACACTATCACTAGCGGCATCCAGGGAAAGTAATTTGTGTCGATGTGTTTTACTGTAGCCTGTTTCAAGCAAGCAAATCTAAACCTTTATTCATTTAAACGTTGCTTGTTTGTTTTATATCTGCCTCCCCATTGTTTCCTATAAATGGGCCTAGAACTTGTGAATGAATGTTAAACTATTATGTTTACAAAGTCTAATCACAAGGTGGGTTTCTGTTCCCTAAAGATGAAACTTGGGTAGTAAAAGATTCTTCCTCATAGTTGGTTAAAGACATGCGCCGTAACTTTTGAGTATTTTTTCAACCTCCCGCTTTGAGCTGGATGTGTCAATGTGTAGTTCATACTTACATAATCTATGAGAAGAATTACTGTTTTACCTCAATTAGCCACGAAATTCCTAGATTGAAAGCGACTATTTCTTGAAGCGGTGCTGCGCCATTTTCCAGAAAAATGAGCTTCAGCCCCTCGCTAAATGAGTGACAGCTAGCAAGATGCACCTGATGCACAATTGACAATTGACGGAGTAACCCATGATTCACCAAATGATATTTTGAAGGGGGAAACAAAGTACTTTAAGCATATGTTTTCGTTTCAGTCGCTTCCATCTCCTCTAACTGAAGCTAATTGTAGAGATTTTTTTTCTATTGATAATGTAAAATTAACAGCCATACAGAAAGACTCATGTGAAGGTGAAATTACAGAGGAGGAACCTCTGGATGCAATTAAAGACTTTAAGTCTGGGAAAACTCCAGGGTTGGATGGCATACCAGTCGAGGTATACCAAACCTTTTTTGATATACTAAGAGGACCGTTATTAGCATGTTTTAACCACTCCTATGTAAATGGTAGATTATCTCAAGAAGAAGGAATGATCTCATTATTACTGAGACAGGATACAAGTGGAACATATAAGGATCAAGTCCATTTGAAAAATTGGAGGCCCCTTACACTTCAGTGCTGTGATGCAAAGATTCTAGCAAAATGTATAGCGCATAGAATTAAAAAGGTATTGTCGGATATTATTCATTCTAATCAGACAGGTTTTTTTACATGGAAGATACATTGGAGATAATATAAGGCAAGTATTGGAAACAATAGGACATTATGGAAAATCTGGGAAACCAGGCCTGCTATTCATTGCAGACTTCGAAAAGGCATTTGATAAAGTACGACTGGGGTTTATATATAAATGCCTGGAGCATTTCAATTTAGGAGAATCTCTTATAAAATGGGTCAAAATCATGTATAGTAACTAATGGCTATTTCTCAGAAAGTTTTAAACTGTCAAGAGGAGTGAAACAAGGTTGTCCACTATCGGCATATCTATTTATTGTGGCCATCGAGATGTTAGCTGTTAAAATCAGATCCAACAATAATATCAGGGGATTAGAAATCCAGGGCTTAAAGGTGTCATTGTATGCTGGTGTCATTGTACGCTGATGATTCATGTTTAAATCCACAACTAGAATCCCTCCACAGCCTCATAGAGGATCTAGATACATTTTCTAACTTCTCTGGATTACAACCAAATTATGACAAATGTACTATATTACGTATTGGATCACTAAAAAATAAAAATTTTACATTACAATGTAGTTTACCAATAAAATGGTCTGATGGTGATGTGGATATACTCGGAATACATATCCCAAAGGAAATAAATGATCTCACTTCAATACATTTTAATAGAAAGTTAGCAAAAATAGATCTTGCTACCATGGAAAGGTAAATACCTGTCAATTTGTGGAAAAATCACCCTGATGAACTCTTTAGTATTATCCCAGTTTACCTATTTGCTTATGGTCTTGCCTACGCCTAGCGAACAGTTTTTTGAAATTATATGAGAAAAAAATATTCCATTTTATTTTGAACGGCAAGCCAGACAAAATTAAACGGGCCTATTTGTATAATGAATATGAATTGAGAGGACAGAAATGATTAAATATTAAAGCATTAGACCTATCACTAAAAGCTTCAGTCATACAAAAGTTATACTTAAATCCGAACTGGTTCTCTAGAAAATTAGTAAGATTGTCTCACCCAATGTTCAAGAATGGCCTTTTTTCCTTTATTCAGATTACAACCACTCACTTTCAGTTATTTGAAAATGAAATAATCTCCCAAATATCACTATTTCTAAAACAAGCCATAGAAAGTTGGTTGCAATTTCAATTTAATCCTCCAGAAACGGCAGAACAAATAATGCAACAAATATTGTGGTTGAACTCAAATATACTAATTGACCATTTTTTTTTGACAAAATGTTTAAAAAAGGTATAATCTTCGTAAATGATATCATCGGTAGGACTGGTGGAGTTATGTCGCACATGCAGCTAACAAAAACATATGGAAATGTCTGCTCTACCCAAAATTACAACCAAATAATTGCAGCCTTACCGCAAAAATGGAAGAGGAAAGTGGAAGGGGAAGAAAGTAAGGAACTTGTCTGTCAGCCTTGCATTAAAGAACATAATTGGTTAAGGAAAACTGTGATCAATAAAAAAGTATATCAGTTTCATTTAAGGACCAAAGGATTGACAGCCGTCCCATATAGATTGCAAAATAGTTGGGAAGAGATTTTTGACATACCGATCCAATGGCATAGTGTTTATGAACTGATACGCAAAACGACACCGGATTCAAAACTTAGAATCTTTCAATTAAAAATATTATATAAAATTCTTGCAACCAATAGAATGTTATTTATATGGGGGATACAATCTTCCCAGCTCTGCAGATTTTGCTGCTAAGAGACAGAATCATTAGATCATTTGTTTTGGTACTGTCCATTTGTAGCTTGTTTTTGGACACAGGTCCAGGAATGGCTAAAGGATTGCAATATTTACCTGGAGCTAACCTTGCAGATAGCATTACTGGGTGATCTGAAAAGTCATAGTCAATCGATCAATAACATAATAATACTTTTAGCCCAAAAAAATATTTTCAATTCACAATCTGTAGAAACAATGAGAATAGAAAGGTTCAGAACTTTTGTAAGACATCACAGTACAGTTGAAATATATATGGCAAATATAAATCCTATATGGATGGTGTTAAAAGATAGATGGGTGATGTTGAATGGAATTGAAGGATGGGACTAATAACAACTAACAACAAATAATAACAAGATAACTAATAATTTAAGCATACTGTGTCCATAATAAGTATATTGTCAAGCGACGTGTATGCGGTTAGCGAAGTCAAATGCAGGACACAGAGCCGCTGGCAACATTCTTTACTGAACACAGTAAAATAAACGTACAAAACAACAAACCTCCAAAACAGGGAGGAAAACACAAAGACCCGTACATACGAGAAACTGCCGGAATGACAACCGAACAACCACACACAAAATAACCAAATGAGAGACAGGGGTTAATATAGGGAATACAATCCAACATAATGGGAAACAGGTGTAAACAATAAAGACCAAAGAAGACAAACACCGAAACATCGATCGGCAGCAGCTAGTACTCCGGGGACGACGAACGCCGAAGCCTGCCCGAGCAATGAGGAGGAGCAGCCTCGGCTGAATCCGTGACATATATAGGTTGTAGGTTGGGAGCTTTTGTGAAAGATCACAGTTATAGATATGGCATATAAAAGCAAACGGGATGGACATCATGAAAATGATCGGAGAGGTTGAGAGTAGAGGAAGTTCAGGAGAAAAAACAAACAAAATATAATTATTGTAAAATTGACTGTGTCCATAAAATGTAGAGAGTAGGTATAAGCTGGAAGTAGAGGCCTAAGCATTGTTGGTCGCTAGTTTACTCCAAGTAGGGAAAGGGTGGTACTTTTATTTTGAAGACATAATAAAAAATGTTGAGTACAAACACGTCATGTACAGTCCCCTTCTAAGAGAGAAAGAAGGGGCGGAGTTAAGCCCTGAGGTTTTGTGAAATGAAAGTGAAAAATATATTTTCTGTATAGTCATACGGCACATCTGGAGAGAAGTTTGTGTGTTTTTAATGACTATTACGCATTGCTATTGATATTAATTTATCTGATATTTTTTTATCTGAAGTGGCAGTTTTGACCAGTAAGGTAAGACGGTATATCGACGATACTTTAACTTTCCCAAAATAAACAAACATTTATATCATAAAACAAAGAGTACTGAAGAGAGAGATACACAGGATATACACAGTATGTGTTTTTGCACTTGAGAGAAATAGAGAATATGATTAATAGAAAAGTAGCTTAATGATGTGTGTAGTTATGGTTTCCAACTTTTTTTATGCAGGCAAAATGGCAGAGGCTGGTGTTCATAGTAAGTCAACACGTCACTGTCTCAGGAGTTATTGGTTGCTTTTCTTGTATTAATGTCGTATATACAAACCACAGTTTAGTCAGTAGATCTATGTCATAGGCTTATAGATTTGGAGCAGACATGGGATTGTTGTTGAGTCTCAAACTGTTAAATAACATAGTTTCCTGTAAAAATGGAGCCCAACAGGACACACCTTCACATATAGTCAACTCTGTCAGCGCCAGAAAGCAAGGTCATGAAGTAAAAAATAATTGTTTAATAAAACAGATATCCTCTTGCAGGTAAGTCAAGGATGGGGAAATTATGCACCTGTGTCGTAGGTGATACTTTCAATTCTGATAAGGACTTGATAAGACAACTCATTGTCCGAGGAAACTGTACTGAAGTGTCAGTAGCGGAGAGTGATGTCATCATGATGATCTGTCCTATCGTCAGTCACCTTGGGCCTCTTGATCTTGATATACAACTGGAGGTGGTCTCAGAATACCTAGGTATGTATCAAGAGGCTAATTACCTGAATACATGCTTTATTTGTTAGAGTTCTTAAACTAACTTTGTTCATCCCTCACTCTCTTGACAGCTGGTAAACCTGTCGTTCTGGTGGTGCTGCATGACACTTTCAACCCAGACTCCACTATACCTGACAGCAGCAGACTAGTGACCAGGGGTGAGGTGATACTCACAGTGGACTGTCTATTTAATCACAGAGGACTTCTGGACTGTCCTCGCAATAAAGAAGCAGTCGGTATGATTCTGAAGAGGCTAAACGTACAACCAAAGGTATAGTTACAACGTATAGTCCACTTTGAGTTATTTAGCACCGCACTTGCCCCTCGTCATTTAAGAATTTGTGAAAATTATGATAATGCCCTTTTAGTGTAAGAGCTGTTTGAAAAGGCAGCCTGAAATTTCCGCCTGTTTTGGTGGGATGGAGTTTTGGCTTGCCTGGTGACATCACCAGGTGGTAAAGTAGTTAATAGACCAATAAGAATGAGAGTACCAAACCTCTCTGCCTATAACAGTTAGTTTTCAGTTTTCACCTCCCCACTCAGACCACTCCCAGACAGTCCTAGCAAAATTCTTGCTTGAGAAATAGCTCTTTGCTAAGAAGCTATTTTTGTTTATTTTTGACCATTTTAATTGAAAACAATCACAATAAGGTACTTAATTGTTACCCAGAAATTATTTGATATTGAGATAAAAAACAACTGCTGCATTGGACCTTTAACTGACTTGCCTAGTTAAATATCGGTTTAGAAATCCATGTTCAGCACAATGTAGAATCGAATACTATACTAATAATTAATTTCTTAACTTCTCTCTCTCTGTTGCAGCAGGAATTCACAGAAGGTAAATACTGCTCTAAACAAAATTAATATGATGAATTGCACAATAACAAAGGTTTCATTTTTAACGAAACAGAGATATCCTCTTGCAGGTGAGCCAAGGATGGGGAAATTATGCACCTGTGTCGTAGGTGATACTTTCAATTCTGATAAGGACTTGATAAGACAACTCATTGTCCGAGGAAACTGTACTGAAGTGTCAGTAGCGGAGAGTGATGTCATCATGATGATCTGTCCTATCGTCAGTTACCTTGGACCTCTTGATCTTGATATACAACTGGAGGTGGTCTCAGAATACCTAGGTATGTATCAAGAGGCTAATTACCTGAATACATGCTTTATTTGTTAGAGTTCTTAAACTAACTTTGTTCATCCCTCACTCTCTTGACAGCTGGTAAACCTGTCGTTCTGGTGGTGCTGCATGACACTTTCAACCCAGACTCCACTATACCTGACAGCAGCAGACTAGTGACCAGGGGTGAGGTGATACTCACAGTGGACTGTCTATTTAATCACAGAGGACTTCTGGACTGTCCTCGCAATAAAGAAGCAGTCGGTATGATTCTGAAGAGGCTAAACGTACAACCAAAGGTATAGTTACAACGTATAGTCCACTTTGAGTTATTTAGCACCGCAATTGCCCCTCGCCATTTAAGAATTTGTGAAAATTATGATAATGCCCTTTTAGTGTAAGAGCTGTTTGAAAAGGCAGCCTGAAATTTCAGCCTGTTTTGGTGGGATGGAGTTTTGGCTTGCCTGGTGACATCACCAGGTGGTAAAGTAGTTAATAGACCAATAAGAATGAGAGTACCAAACCTCTCTGCCTATAACAGTTAGTTTTCAGTTTTCACCTCCCCACTCAGACCACTCCCAGACAGTCCTAGCAAAATTCTTGCTTGAGAAATAGCTCTTTGCTAAGAAGCTATTTTTGTTTATTTTTGACCATTTTAATTGAAAACAATCACAATAAGGTACTTAATTGTTACCCAGAAATTATTTGATATTGAGATAAAAAAACAACTGCTGCATTGGACCTTTAACTGACTTGCCTAGTTAAATATCGGTTTAGAAATCCATGTTCAGCACAATGTAGAATCGAATACTATACTAATAATTAATTTCTTAACTTCTCTCTCTCTCTGTTGCAGCAGGAATTCACAGAAGGTAAATACTGCTCTAAATAAAATTAATATGATGAATTGCACAATAACAAAGGTTTCATTTTTAACGAAACAGAGATATCCTCTTGCAGGTGAGCCAAGGATGGGGAAATTATGCACCTGTGTCGTAGGTGATACTTTCAATTCTGATAAGGACTTGATAAGACAACTCATTGTCCGAGGAAACTGTACTGAAGTGTCAGTAGCGGAGAGTGATGTCATCATGATGATCTGTCCTATCGTCAGTCACCTTGGACCTCTTGATCTTGATATACAACTGGAGGTGGTCTCAGAATACCTAGGTATGTATCAAGAGGCTAATTACCTGAATACATGCATTATTTGTTAAGAGTTCTTAAACTAACTTTGTTCATCCCTCACTCTCTTGACAGCTGGTAAACCTGTCGTTCTGGTGGTGCTGCATGACACTTTCAACCCAGACTCCACTATACCTGACAGCAGCAGACTAGTGACCAGGGGTGAGGTAATACTCACAGTGGACTGTCTATTTAATCACAGAGGACTTCTGGACTGTCCTCGCAATAAAGAAGCAGTCGGTATGATTCTGAAGAGGCTAAACGTACAACCAAAGGTATAGTTACAACGTATAGTCCACTTTGAGTTATTTAGCACCGCACTTGCCCCTCACCATTTAAGAATTTGTAAAAAATTATAATACCCTTTTAGTGTAAGAACTGTTTGAAAAGACTGCCTGAAATTTCCGCCTGTTTGGGTGGGATGAAGTTTTGGCCTGCCTGGCGACATAAATTAATTAATAGACCAATAAGAAAGGGAGTTTCAAACTTCTCTGCCAATGACAGCTAGTTTTCAGTTTCACCCTCACCTCTGACCAGTAACCTGTCTCGGGGAAATGACTATTCACCAGACTCATTATGAATTGAAATGCAGTGTCTTATCAATGTGCTATAAACAAGAGGACTGACTCTGAAGGGATGCAAGTGATGTTTGATGATATTGCACTTCCTCTGACGTAGTCACTGAGTAGCCCTCAAATTGTCACTCCATAGATTGTACCAATGTAATGACCTTGTTCTCTTGACACGCACGGCAAATCGGTCGTGGTAGCACGAATGTCTAGGCTGCCTGAGACTTCAAAATCATTCTAAAGATCCCAAGCTCATGAAGACTGCTAGTTACCACTCATGCTCCACACGCTAATTTACTTGCTCCTTTGCATCCATTTTTACCTGCTGCATACTTGACTATAATATTATGCATAGTATATTAATCTATACCCAATGTAATATTACCTCAACTAGCATCCCCTGCACATTGATATGAAACGGTTACCCCTTGTATGATAATAGCTCTACTGTCACTTTATTCTATTGTATATATAGCCTCCCTACTGTCACTTTATTTTTTACTTCTGCTCTTTTTTTCTCAACACTTTTTTGTTGTTGTTTTATTCTTACTTTTTTGTTTAAAATAAATGCACTGTTGGTTAAGGGCTGTAAGTAAGCATTTCACTGTAATGTCTGCACCTGTTGTATTCGGCGCATGTGACCAATAAAATTTGATTTGATTTGATTTGATTTGATTTGAGTTGAATATACTGTACATTAAACAATAACAACAAAAACAATTGTAAAAGTAATCAAAAAGTTTTCCCTGTTGAATGTGTATTGATTGAAACCTGAAGTCATCTGAAATAAAATCTTAGTATGCTGATGACGTCTTGCAAATACAATTTAAAAAATGTGAAGTAACTATTTGAATTATTATTATTATTATTATTATTATTATTATCTACTATGGGTCAGAAAAGCTCAAGGATTTTGTTAAACAATCTAGGCGCTTCAAAACACTAAGCTGTTGGGTCAGCCTTATGGTCAATTATCTTCATTTGCGGTGTTAAACATTTTGCAAGATAAGGCAAAACTTTACATTACAGTGCCCTTATTACTGTGTAATTACTGCTGTAAGTACAGTGTAACAAGTATCGTAATACTTACAGCAGTAAACCTAAACCTAGCCCTAACACTGATGATAACCTTTACCCTAAGCCTAAATACAGGGTCAGTACAGTGTAACAATGAGTAATTACAATAGGCTACTTGTTACACTGTATTTACACAGTAATAAGAGCACTGTAATGTAGATTATTTTCTGAAAAGTTATTAACACCCTATCTAGTTTTAGATCCCTTCTTCTCCAATCCCATGGTAGGACCCCTGATAACAATCACAACAAATTATTAAAGGTAAGCAGTGTTGATTATGGTTAGCGTCTTGAATGAGAAATCTTCAACAAGGCCGCTGTAGATTGCTCAATTTACCAGTACGCTGTGCTACCATGTTTAACTTTTTCTTAAAATTGATACTTGAAGACCGCACCTGTTTCTAAAGTACAAAATCAACGTATTTTCCCCGCTTTTTATATCTCGTCCCAAACCTTAAACCTCAGAGCAACAGGGTTGAACACTTTTTGCAGATACAAAGAAAAATGTCATTGATGTTCTACATGAGGTACGTTGAAATATGACTTTGACACAGTGTCCATTCCATGTGTTTTTATCCAGGTGGGTCAACATTCAACTCTCTTTAAATATGTGTAAGCAGGCACTATGTCTACCTACAGGTGTTATTAACACATCTGCCAATTACTCATTCAAATCTATATTGGAATAATTTCCAACATCCTATATATCAAGCAGGATTTTGACTTTGAGATTGATCACAGGGAAACCACCCCAAAGTGGTTATTGTGAAATAAGATTAGTGTTTATCAGATTCCTCTTTAGGTTCTGTTTCTGGGTGAGCTGATCTGACAGAGTTAGCAAGGCTAAAGAGTGTGACCCGCTCTTAGCTTTGCTACACTCACATTCTATATATCTCTCTGAAAGTCCAGGGATAGTACATTTCACTACTGTGGCTAGTAATAATTGGGTTCTCATGAGGAATTTATGAGAAAATTCACTGTCCAAGTTTTCAGCACCAACTCTCTAAGTGGAGTGTGGCGTGTGGAGTATGACCCTGGGTGTTTACTGTAGTCACAATGTTTACTGACAGTCAATTACAAAATCACCAATGGAACGTTGCACCTTCTTTGCTACACAGTAAGAGCTTTAGTGCCATCAGGTGGATACATGTTTTTACTGCATTAAGTGTAATCGCTTAAAACAACCTCAGATAGGTCAAAAATATGAGGACTGATAATGTATCCAATTATTATTACATATTTTTTGTTCATAACTGGAAGTACACGACCCCGTAATATAATATTAAAGATGCATAGCAGTTGTGTTTACAGTCTGGGTTGAGCTGCAGTGTCGGCAGCACAGAGAAAGGATCAGACATTACTAAAAATAGTAATTTTAGCTAAGATGCTTAACTTATCTATTAGCATGCCAATAGAACGAACTCAACAACAACTGAACAAAGTTGACTTGCACTACCTGGCTAGCTAGCATTAGCCGGCTAACGTTACTGCCAAAGATCTTTATAACTAAACCTCATTGTTCTATCTGTGTTAGTGCTGACTAGCTAGCAGGCTTGCTAGCTACAGTAGCTAGCCCTACCTGGCTATGGCTATAGTCATGCTAGCTAGTGGAAGTAAGTTACTCCCTCATGCTAGGTAGTTGTAGCTAGCTAGTGGAAATAAGTTAACGTTAGTCCCTCAACCTGCTGCTACAAGATGAAGCGGCCCGGCCAAAGCGAGGTAGCTGCTGCAGAAAGGTGAGATTTGTACATTACTTTCTGTAGCTAACTTAGCTAGATCTTCTGTCTGGCTGGTGCTTATTGACTGAGTAGGCTAACAATTAACTGCAGTTACTGTACATGGTTACATATCTGGCCCTTTACATAGCAATTTCTTACACACTCAATACAACAATGTCCAGTTAAGCTACAGTCAATGCTGATATTGTGTGTTTGTGTGTGTGAGTTCAGAATGTGCCCGCAGGAGAAGGACACACTATGACATCTGAGCAGATCTTCATCCAGTTACATCAGCCAATACAGTAAGTTAAAATCATCCTTTTTATTGGTGTGGCTATAATTCACAAACCTCCTTTCCTGCTAACTGAAAGGCAGATGTAGAAAAGGCATAATGGTGAGACTACTACATGAATTGCTACGACCATTGGCCTGCTTTTCTGAATGTATACCAACCACCTTTCAGGGGGGCTGATGATCAATGATACAGAGATATGGAACGCCGTTTGGGTCTTTGCGTGTCAAAAAAGATACACGTCAAATAACACTATTTGACTATTTTACGCAGTTATTACACATTGATTACACCATCACTCGTATTTCATTTGTCACAACGACTCATCGATACGTATGCTATGACGCTGGTAAAGTTTTGTCTCGGGCACCTGCCCTTCCCCAAGCTCTGGACAGTGCTGGTCATAAAAAAAGCTAGCTAACGTTAGCTGATTGATGCAAACAATGTTCTTCCCCAAAAACATAGCTAAATGACAATCTGTTTCAGTAGCTATAGTTAGCTAGCTAACTATCTAGCTAGGTGTCATCATCTAAAATACCCCTAATTTATAAAACTGTTTGATTAATGATGGCCGGACCCATCTATGTGAAGCTAGCCACAATAAGGATTAGCCACAATAGTGGAATTTGCGGTTAGCCTTCAAAATAAAATGATGTCATTGACAGTGACGCAAATTAATACAAATAGTGGAATTACGCCATGATAAACGAGGTTGTATTGTTATATAAATTCAACAAAATAAAATGATTTGTTAATTTGACAAAAATCTGTTGAAATCACACTGGATGTATTAGACTTTAGAATTGCATTGAGGGCATATGCATTTCACTGTACAACCTTACCAATGGATTATGGATCAATGACATGGGGTATCAGTCTACTCAGTGACACCCAGAGAAAAGTAGCGTCATAGCTCTTATTACGGGACTCTGAAACCACTGTGAATTGAGCCACATTTATTGTACCAGTCACCCTACTATGTATATTGAACAATATTCCAGAGGGAAAACGATACAACCTGGATGTTTTGGGAGTCTGATAACTCTGAGGAGGACATTGGGAAAAAAGATCTTGGTACTGAGTAAACAGACACCCCATTTAATTTATCCCCAATCCTTAGGTAAGGCTGCACAGTGCAATATGAATGTCAATACGCACAATAGGCTGACTGTGAGGTGGTTTCACACAGTCGCAGTCCCGCGATAAGAGCTACAACGCTAATATTTGAATAAACTCTTCACAGTTGTCTTCTGTGGGTGTCACTGAGTAGACTGATACCCCATTTCATTGCTCCACATTCCAACCTTGTTTAACATTATCTAGTCTAAATATTGAATGATTTCACCAATTGTAACCTTCTGCGTCACTTTCAAAGAGGTACTTTTATTTTGAAGGCAAACCGCAAATTCCACTATTGTGGCTATTTTCCCAACACATAACCCGGTCCGGTCAAGCCTCACCAGCCAGATGAAGTTTACTGGCTGCTTTTAACGTTAGCTTTGGGCAACATGGTTAAGTAGCTGGCTAGCTAGTTATTTTCATGAACTTAAGTTCAATTTCAAGTGGCTACCTAGCTAATACTTACATGGATTCCTAAATCATTGCTAAGAATATTGAAAATGACTGCAGTTTCTATTGGTCATTGTTTTCAGGCTAACGTTAGTTGCATTGGTGCTAGCTAGGTAACGTTACCAAGCTAAAGCTAGCTAGC